TTGCCTTCCACTCCTCCCTTTCCCAAAGGTAGGTCTCCCATGCCATCATCTTCCCCTTCTCGGTGACTTGTCTTTGATGTGGGATTCCGTGTGCCTGGCCAGTCTGTTTTGAAGGTCCAGAACTGTGTGTGAGCTCACTGCGTGAGAGGGAGAAGTGCACAAAGTAGTCAGCAAACGTGTGTCTCAGCTGGTGTGACAGGTGCCTTCAGAGGGATTTAGTGTTCTCCAGGCTGGGTGTCTTGTCTTGATGTATTTCTGTGCACCTTGCAGCTCAGGTTGAAGGACATCTTCAGTGGCAGCTCTGACAGTGTTAGCGAGAAAATGCTCTCCGTGAGCTAATGCTGAAGAGGACTTGGTAGTGGTAACAGAATTGGAAGATTTTTTTCTGAACTCAGAAGGCAGGAGAGCACTGTTTGAAGTGGGAGAAATGAACACTGAGTAAGGAGAGAAGCTGATACAGAGGTTAGGAGAGAGGCTATTGCTATATGGGTAAGACAGATATATGGGTCTTCAGATAGATGAAATCTCTGATAGGAGATTTTTATATAAATATTTTTCCCACTTAGTAGCTATGAACATAATTGAAAGACAATATTTGAAGAAACTGTAGACACAAAGAGAAATTTAATTCTCTTGCTCTAAAGGTAGTTTATTGTAATGATGTATATAATTATCAAATAATGTGCTTGGTCACTTTTTAGAGACTGTGGTGCAGTCTCACCAGTCCTAGTCTTTGTCTCAGTATGCTGTTTTGTGGGTTTTTCAATAGCAGTGAAGTGCATCAGCAGCTTCTTATTGTGATCTGCGGGTTTCTTTGTTGTTTTTTTTTTTTTTAAACAGAATGTGTTTCACTTGGTTACCTTGCCTACAGCAAGTGCTAGTTTCTCTGAGCACTCAGCAGGGAAATGTAACTCTTATTTAAACTGGAGGAAACTAGAACTAGAGATGCACACTGTGTGTTTGTGTGTTGGCGTAGGAGAGCTGGAGAAAATATGCATTTTATTGTAAAGTTTCTAACCAGTAATACTCCGATCCGAACTTATTTGAGCACACAGCGTGCTCAGTGCAGTAGGGCTCTGCTGATTCAGATGTCTGAGAGCTTCATACCATAGCAGGCATGAAGTTTCCTCTTTGAGGAAACACCATTAGGCAAATTACTTAGCCAAAGGGTATAATATGATCATAAAAAACATCAATTTAAACTCCTCTCAAATGATGATTTGTATGATACACTGTATTTCTAGTTGTTGGCTAAAATGAAGACTGTAGGACCAGAAAGGGCAAAACACATGCTAGCGATATTGTTCAAACTCCAGGTGGCTTTTGCTCTGATCCAGCCCAGTATGCACACTTAAAGCTGAGACTGTTGGTGTACTTAAATCTTTGGAATGAAACTTTGGACTTCGCTTTTTTTTTTTTTTTCTCCTGTGCATATTAAAATTAAAAAATAAAAAATGACATATAGTGCCATTATTTGTTATTTCCATTTAACGGATTGCAGTGCAGTATCCAGTCCTCCACTTCACACGTGGGTTGCTGCACTGAGGAATGAGGTACTTTCTTCCTGAAGTTCTTATCTCTTAGGAGGACTGTGATTATTGAAAAGAGAGAGAGTGGGATTTTCTTTTGTCAGACGGGCTAAGGGAGTTAGAAAAATAGGCAAACTTTTGGACCACCAAATTTTTTTATCAGGCTGGAAACAAAAGCAGCAGAATTTGTTCTAAGTACTGGCTGTGAATGGCTGTTTTCTGTCACCGATTAGAGCTATGAATTTAAATAGCTAAATAAATGATTTGTGAGGGGCTTGCTAATAAAGGGGGATTATGATAACAAAGCAGGGAGAGAGCAGGAAAGTAAGACCACAGTAGCACACCAGTGTGTGCTGAGGGGAGGGTTATCAGGAATTATAAGATGGAGTAGTAATTTGCCCTACAACAAGTGTCCTGAGTCCATGACTTCTGGCATCCAATGGATGCTAGAAGGGGTCTTACCATTTGTAGGTGTTTTGTCTAGAATGTCTTTTGGACTAAAGGAACAAAGAAATTGTTCAGGGAAAAGTTCATCCTAGCTGTAAATGTGCATTTTTCCTCCTTAACTCATTATCAGTGTGAATTCTTGCTGATACACAGTGCTTATAAGGTTTCAATTCAAATTTCCAGGACAGTTTTGGGGGCATTAGAGACTTTTTTTTTTTTTTTTTAACTTTGAGACCTGTATGTATAATATTTATGGAGACTGGAGTGGTTTTATGCAAAAGTCACAGTGAGAATGTGAAGAGCACTTTCAGTGATAGAAATGACCTTTCTGATTTAATTATTCCTAGTGTTTGTGTGGGTCAGATCTCTTAGGTTTAAGTAGTATTAAAAAATATCTGTCATTTAAGTGTGTTATTTTTGGTTTTTTCCCCCTTTTTGTTGCTTTTATTGTTGCTTTTTTTGTCGCTTTTTTTGTCATTTGCAATATGAAAAGTCATTTAAGCACTTCCAGAAAAAAAGCTGGTAATTTCTTCCAATATATTGTTTCCAAGGAGAGCAACAGACACATTTTTTTACTCCACCTTGAACTGCCACCTCCCAAGAGAAAGTGTGAACTCCTCACAGCTTTATACTGAGCCTCATCAAAGTGTGTTGTATTTCTGAAGTCCAAATTGTAAATTGTTTTGCAAATGATCAAATTTATTTCGGGTTATCAGTTGAGTGTGCTGGTGTGTTTAAAGATGGTCATCCTGGTATAAGAACTTGCATGTCTTTACCATGGCTTTTTCTTCGGTTAGCTAAGGCACAGCACAGATTACAAACCTTGTGTTTTGGTTTGTTTTTTATGCTAGATCAGTGACATATGAGAGTTTATAAGGCAGAGCTACTGAAGAGCTATTTCCAGACTGATAAAGGGGGAAAAATGAATTTGAATTTACTGAGTACCTGTTGTTCTCATGCAAGGCAGCTATCAAATTTTGTTGCATGTAATTATGATCAGAAATACAGTTTCCATTTGCCATGTTTGAAATGATCAAGCACTCATGTCCTGTAGAATTTTTCTGAAGCTCTTCTGGAGGAGACTGATAACCACTGCAGTCGGATCTACTGCTTCATTGTCCGAGGCTCTGCACTAACATTTGCTCCCAAGAACGTATCATATAGAGTACTTGTCTGTGAGAATGCATGGGTGATCTCATAAGCCTCCCTTGTTTTGTGGAAAGAAGAATTTAGATGGAAATATCTATAATTTACGTTCTGTTTTATATCAGTGTGGGTATCTGTTCTCTCGGTGATACAGTTTTGCAGCTTCTCTGTCAGTATTCAGTAAAATTATGTTTTTTTTTAATCAAACCATATAATATGACAGTAAAAATGAAGGGCAAAATTTTGACAGAATTGTTAAGTTCTACAGATAAAGACAAAAAGAGAGGGGAGTGGGGAGTTATTCAACAGACAGTTTCTGGGGCTAGTACTAGCTGAACAGGTCCATATGGGCAAACCTGGGACCAAAGGCCATCTTTTTTAACTAGAGAATCATAGTTTTCTGAGCTGAAACTGAATTTTTCATAACTAAAGATTAATGAGTTTAACTTCAAATCTAAAAGGAAATTACATGATTTTTCTCTTTCTTAAGATATGCGCCTTAAAGTGGTGCATATCTTGATGTGAATAAAAAAAAGTGAATATTTTACTCACTTCAACTTAATTTCTCTTGGAAACATGTGGGACTATGGTGTGGGACACTGCAACATTTATTGCTGCATATTTCTGAAAAGGACGTGGCAGCAGGTCATGGTATCAGTAGTGCAAATTAGTTGCCTGAAATCAAGCTGCATCATTTGATTCATTAATGTTGTGGTGCTTTGGATTGCCTTTCCTGCCAGTGCTCGATTCCTGTATTGATTATGGAAAAAGAGAAGGAATACGAGTGTATTTTGAGATGTTTGCTCTTGCCTCCAGGAACTTTGCTCTATTGTTTGCAGTCACTCTAATGTGACACAAGCATGGATTCATGCTAACAGTCCAGAAGTTGAACAGTTTGAAAACTGATGCAGGTATTAAAGTATATCACTCGTTTCTTGCCTCTTATCTTAGGTTCAAACTTGGCTCTCGTGGCCAGCTGAAAGTCTCCTCTCAGAAAAATCACAAAGGTTTTATGCAGCTTGGGGCAACCGCTGCTCTCCCTTCAGAGCGCCAGAGATGGGGTGGAAATAGAGGATTGTTGGGAATGTCTGTAGGGAATAAGAGCAGAGCTCTCATTTTCATTGTGCTTGGCTTGAGCCAGTGTTTCTAATTCCTCACCTGTACAAACACCGAATTTCCTTGATGCTTTGGAAAGTCCCTTCTTGCAGCAAGTGGTGGAAACAAATGATCAAAGGAGTGCCTAAGTGGGAAAATATTTTTAGAACTTCACTGCGTGAATTGCTACAACAGTGGCGCTGTGTGAGTCCGGCCTCTCAGCTGCCAACCGTGCCCACTCGGGGAGCCAAGGGGGCCGATGGAGCGCGGTGGGACGAGCGTGTCCGGGGAAGGAGGTGGCGTGAATCTTGTTCCCCCTCAGCCTTAGCTAGGAAGAGCAGTGAAGCAGGGCTTTAGCAAGTAGTTTACATGAGGTGGAGATCTGGAGTTATGCAGGTGAGCCTCAAGTGTTGCAGGACTCCTTCTTTCCCTGGAGGTAGAGTGCAATTCGGAAGCTATTTTGAAATATTGTTCACAGGAGGTGAGGCTTTCAGCCCATGCTTTATTCATCTTTAAATTGTATTTGGTATCTTTTGATTTCATTTTTGATTGTTTCTGGTGTATTTTACAAATTATGTAAACCACATGCAAATGCTTTCCAATTTAAGGTGAACCAAATGGCATGTGACATGCCACTCAGTGGAGGAAGGCGACACCTGATGAAAGGCACCATGTGAGCACTGGTTCCTGCGGATGTGCCGGGGATGTTTATTGCTCATGTAGAGCAGACAGATAGTCTCATTCAATTGCATATCTGCTGAAAGGCTCTCACAACCTGCTTTATGCTCCATTCATCTATTTCAGGAGTCAGCTCTGAGACATCGGAATTTATATTTCAGTTAGTTAGCATTTTGTGTAACACATCAGGATACTGAAAAGTACAGTCTAGGATTTCAGTAGGTGCTTTTACATGGGACTGGAAAATGAAATGTACATTAAGAAGCAAAAACAAGGTGGTTTTTTTTTCTGAGTTTGAGTTTTCAGGGTGACTGGTCACATTGTTCTTTGCTGAAAACAGCATTCTGCTGTTGGAGAAGCTGATAGCATATTTATTGGCCCAGCATCAGCCTACTTCACACTGCTCAATTGAATGTGGGGAGGTAGGCTGACCTGCATGGACAGATCCAGTTCCAGCTCATCCAGGCGGATTTGGGACTGTAGTAACAGTAGCTTAAGGGGATTTCTGTCTCGTCTTTTTTTTTTTTCTCTCTCCTTTTTATTTTTCTTTTCTAAATTCTATGGAGTTCACCCAACTGGCCTGGCTGAATGTGAGGTTACATGTAGGCTATGGCAAGTTTGGGTCTTTATCCACACAAAATGGTACCAAAAACTATTTGGCCTTGGTAGGTCAGAAACACAAAGCTTTGCTCTGCCAGGCTCTAAGCAATTAAAGACATTGAGAAAATCCCCTAAATTTTTCACTCAGAATCCCGAATGTCAGAGAGCGGACAGCAGCACCTCTGTGTTACACAGAAAATAAATGTTTTTCCAATTATCAGTTATCAGTACATAAAGCAAGTACAGAGCGAGTAGTGCATCATTAGGCTGAAAATGTGCTAAGTTTTGATCCAAACACTGACTCTCCCATTCCTCAAGTAACTATGGGCTTTCCATCTGAAGTACACTCACAACACACTCCCTGTTATAGCACCAGAAAAAAACACTTGTTATATCATTTTGTTAGGAAAATTACGATCAAGCATTTTAAAATTTCTAGCCTGTTGCTCTTAAGTTAAAGCAAGTGAGTGGCAGAGATACTTCCTTCCCAGGGAGTTTATGACATCCCATAGCTCCTTGCAGAAACTTATCCACCCCTTTTGTCATCTGTCAAACTTATTATGAGCAAGTCTTGTGGATTAGATACTTAGTTTGGAGTGTGTAATTCCATTGGGCTCTGTTTAGTTATCCACAAACTTAGAGGTAAATCTGCACCTAAGCAAAACCAATAAACTGGTACGTTCAATAAAATAATCACTTAATCTCACTGTGGACTTTATTTCTTTCTGTGCAACTTGTATAATACTAGAAATATTCAAGCTTCATTGGAGCACATGGTGCAAATGATTTGTGACAGCTGTGTGTTTTAACTTTGTGTGTTTTTTGTTATCGGCAAGGATGTGGAGATATAATAAGCCTAAAATTATGCAATGAAATCTTTGGTTTTTCATTGAACAATTATATGTCTTTCTTTTTATAGAGAGAAATTATAGAACAGCAACAGCAGGAGAGATATGACACAAGATTTCAGAGCACATGTATGTTTTGTGATCAGGAATTCACAGGAAATAGGTTTGTATATTTACCTGTTCACTTTTTTTTTTTTTTTTTTTTATCTGCTCACCTTTATTTATCATTTGAAGTATCATCAACTGACTCGGAGGGCTTTTATTTTTTTGGGTCGACTTTTTATAAGTGAATATTAAGAAGAATTGGGAACTGAACCATTATTAAAAAAAGAGTCATTTGGGGGACAGTTGATCTGGGGGCAAGGGCAGTGGCTGAAACCAGTGTGAGTGCTCAAACATACACCCGTGCAATTACATACCTCCCTGTTCAAATTTATGCTAGTTTGGCAGGGCTTAAAGTTTCAGTAAAAAAAGCAGGAAAGGAAAATAAAAATGAGCAAGGAGCTTTGCAGCATCAGTCCAGTGTGAGAGGGAGTTACATTCAAATCCCTGCTGCATTAAAAATTTATTCATACCCATTAAAAAGTCTCAGCTGGAGACACCAAGTGTAATCCCTGTGTGCTTGACTGCGGGTGGTTCTGGTGCTCTGGAGAGGCAGAAGAACCCGAGCTCAAGTCCCCACTCCCGCTTTGGGTGCATGTCCTGTTCTCTTTGCTGCATGGCGTTGTAAAGGACAAGTTATTTAGCCCCCAAATCATTTCATCCTCTGATTACTCTTGGTGCTGAGGGGTTGAAAATCCCACTAGGATAGTGGCGTAAACGCATGGGATTTCCTTTAGTGCCCAACAGCAGAAGCTTAGGTGTATCTTGTTGGGAAGTTAGGCACCCGGGGAGTTTAGAGTGGTGAGAGCAGAGACTTGAGTGGTAGTTGTGAACCTGATTTACTTGGAGAATTTGCTCCACAACATATATAAAATTGGCTAAGGAGCTCTTTAAAGCCCCTCTGTGCTGTGGGAGAAACTGCAATAAGAAAATGAACCACTTTATCCTCTATTATTCAAGTAACTTATTTGAACATCTATTTTTGTTCCTGAATACTCTGAGTCCTCTTTATGTTGCTAGTGCTGTGAGGAACAAAATTGAATAAAAACGGATCAAGCCCAAGGGTTTGTTTGTTAACCAACATAGAGAAAACTGAAAAAATGGCTTTTTAGAAGATTCTCAAGACAGTTATTGCAAATCTGGGGTTTGCTTATTCGAGTTAATAAATAAGCTTTGCTAACAATGGCAATCAAAATAAAATTACATCGTAGTTTTCCACTAAAGGCTTCTATTTCATGCGTGTTGATTAAGCACTCGAAGCATGACTGAACATTCATTAGGCCTGAGATTGAAAGCTTGCTATTTCAGTTTGCAGCCGGGAATACAACACTATTATTATTTACTTAATGTTGACTTGTGTACATTTTTAAAGCAATTAGTGTAATTTGACCCACAAATTGAATAATTCTTGTATGTATTAAAAATACCTAATGTTTAATTTGAATGTTTTTTTTGTAGATCTGTCCTTCTCAATCACATGGCAAGAGAGCATGCTTTTAACATTGGGCTGCCAGATAACATTGTGAATTGTTATGAATTTTTGGCTATATTGCAGAATAAACTTGACAAGTAAGTTAAGGACTTAAGTCATGTTTCCTTTAACCTTAGAAGTAAGCTAGTTAAAATTAATTCAGCGTTTATGAGTAACTAGGAACAAACTATAAGTCAATGTGACTTTTGTGTGTTAACCTCGGAAGGCTTTTCTGGGCTTGCTTGCAAGCTGATTCCTAACACTTTGTAGTGCGTGTTCTCTGGAATAGTGGAGGCCACTGCTTCAGTTATTAGTTCCATTGCACATTTCAAGTGACATCAGTAACATCCCATTCTTGCTCGAGTCTGTTGTTCTTTTCACTCTAACCATCTTTTTGCTAAATGCCTTTTATCACTTAGAGTTCTTATACCAATCTCCTCTTGTCTCGCTCTATATATCCATAACTCGTGCCCTCGCTCTCTGCTGGCCCCATACCTGGTTCCTCATCTCTCCCAACTCCCTCTCAGAGCAGGGTATTTCAAGAACATGCTTTATGTTATTGTTGGCGTTGTCTGATGTCTTACCCTGCTCACTGATAAATTGCAGCTTGATCGTTTACCAGGAGGCCCTGAGGGTTTCATATAGGTGGAGTCCTTCATAGCCAATCCTGCAATTGAACTCATTGAAATTGCTTCCAGTGCAATGAAAGGCAGCAATTCGCAGCTGCCATAATTTCTTAATGTCTGTGCTTTTTAATATGTGTCTTAAAGTGCTTTTGTTTTTCCTTCCCATCGTTTTCTCTCTTTTTTTTTTTTGGCTGCTGCTAACCAGCATCTCTGATAAGAAGATGTAATGCCACGATGGCAAAGTTTTTATTCCATTGGAACTGGTTTTCTGGGAGGGCAGTTTTCCCCCTGCAAAGATAATTTTACTAAGGTCCCCTAACAGTACCCATCTTGGTGAAATATGTAAGCTGCCCCTTGCAAGAAAAAATATGTTAGCACATGAGTTATCCAGATGTTCAAGAGGAACATCCTTTAGCCAAGGACATTCCCGTAAGCTTGGCACGCTGCTGTGTCTCTGTTTCAGGGATACCCATCTAAGATAAAATGCAAACTTTTTCTTGATACTTGGGTCATCATAGCCCAGTGATGTAATGTTTTGTAATCTTGTCTTTTAGGTATCTAATGATACTACCTTTAAGAGAACAACTATTTTATCAACCTGTCCACCTCTAATAAAGAATTTAAGATAGTGAATAAAATTCTGTTTTGTTTCAATTGCTCTGGAAAATATTCCATTATAAAGTATCATTATTAATGTATTCACCATTCTGAGTTTTATATACAGGTGTGTGTGTGTATATATATATATGTATGTTATGATTTGATTTACTAAATTTGATTTCTCAGGATTGCAAAGCCCACAGATCACCTTCACCAACCTCTTTGAAACTCCTTTTTGAGTCAGAAGTGAACCTTGAGTCACAAGGAAAGAAATCATCTTCTATATAAATATAAATGTATATTTATATATAAATATATATATGTATATAAATATAAAATGTAATTTTTTCAAGTTTACATTAAGAATCCAGGATTGTATTTTTGTACCCTGTATTACATAGAAACAGTTACTGATAGGTTGGTGTCCAAAATAAGTACATGTGAGTTAAGAGTTCATTTCTTCACCAGGCAGTAGTCCGCCCATATACTGAGGCAATTAGTAAATAAGACATTTCTCCTATTTTGTATGAGACAAACAGTAAAGTTGTTTGTATTATTTATGTTTTCATTTTAAGTATTTGTTGTGAGGTGCCTCATCATCTCTATGTTTGATTAACTCCACTAGTACTTTTTTGTTTCCAAATAAACTGACTGTTTTTCACTTGGTTTCTCTCACATGCTCTAGGATTAATCCTACTGTATATATCTCTAATTTATTTAAGTATGTTGTGTTGTACTGCTTTTGCTTCCACATGTTAACTTGTTTACCTTTTTATTTTAGTTTGCAGTGTTTATATTGTGAAAAAGTCTTCAGAGACAAAAACACACTTAAAGATCACATGAGAAAGAAACAGCATCGCAGGATCAATGCCAAAAACAAAGAATACGACAGATTTTATATCATTAATTACTTGGTAAGAAGCTCTGTGAATAATCAGTAAATTGATTGGAGAGATAAAAACAGTATCTTGTTAAAAGAGAGTGATTCCAAGGAATTAGTACAGAGGTCAACACTCAGAGAAAAGACTCTTAAGAAATAGGCTTTTCTGTAGTGTGATAGTCCAGATAATTGTTAAGCTAAGGATGAGTAAATGTTTGTTTTTGAGAATTGGTTTTGAGAAATGCAGGGAGAACACTGCTGGAAGAGACTCTCGTCTCTATGCTATTAGTGCTCTGTCTCTGCTTTAATCACCAGAATTTCCCTTCTGTGAAGGGAAAATGAGATACAGTAGTGAAATGAATGGAGGTCTAACTTGAATGTTACTGGCTTTTAGCATTTTTTATACAAGCCTCAAGCTGGAAATGCTCCTCAAAATGTAAAGTCAGTGTGAAGAGGAGGAAAATGAAAGAAATAAAGGTCAAACAAATACTAAGCCTTTATTTTTAGCCCCCAGGTAGTTACATGTTGCTGGGTATTCGTATTTTTTATCTCGGGTCTTGCAGAGTGTGTGTGTGTATGTGCAAGTAGCAAATATTCATTTACTGTCTTCAACCACTGAATATAAGAGCTGCTCCAAAACTGCTTCATTCTGTCCTAGAAATGTTTCACTTGAAGTAGTTTCTTTTCTAAGCTCTGTACATGCATTAAAATCTACCTTGTAAATGAATTTTGTAGGCCTTTTCACTCTTTTTACCTAGTCTTTCTTTTTAATCTCTCCCCCTGTGCTCAATCCAATACTAAGAACAAAAAGTTAGACATTTAATGCTCTGCCAAGTCCCTTTGACCCAAGATGAAATGAATTTCCTCAGTTCCTGTATACCTTCCTTCCAAAAATCAATGATCCTAGGTATATGGTTCCCTTTTAAAAACAAGTTTCACTGCTTTAAAAACTGATTTACGCTTGTTACAGTATAGGAGAAAAACTCTGAAGTTCTGCCAAGTGGATGTTCTCAGCTTTTCAACCAAACTATATTTACCTCTCCTGTACAAATTAATAGTTTTGTTCTTCCCTGTTAGTCCTGTAGGCAATATAACAAGTTCAGAACATAGTGTCCTCTTTAACCCCCCTTCTGTCACGGGATTTGTATTCGATGGTCAGTTTTGGCTCCCAGCTTTGAGTTTTTGAGAATTTCTCCAGCTTTGAGAAGGAAATTGAGGCAAATGACCCTTCAGGGATCCCTTCCTACTTACATTATTCCATGGTTGTATTAAGCCCATCAGACTAAGGGTGTGGGACTATAGTTCTGCTCTCATTATGGCTGATTGCCAACTTGATTTAGCTAAAAATTGCTATGCTTCCGTTAGTCTTCCAAGGTTTTTTCATAGTTCCTCCTTGGAGCTGAGAAAGACAGAGTCTACGCGGTGACTGGGAGCATCGAGGAGCTACTTTTCTGAAGCACAGAAAACTAGAGAACTGTGCAGAGAACTCAGAAATTTTAAGGAGATACAAGAAGGTCATAACATCAGTGAAGAAAGTGGCTATGTCATGTTAGTAGTGTTGGTAAGCAGAACGGGCTGGGGCAAGGTTAATATTCATATAGCTGATATGGGACCTATACAGTTGATGAGTCATGCCAAGTGTTGTCTGGTCAGGGAAGGACTTTGCAGAGTGACTTCTAATACCAGCCTGCCCATTAGTATTGGAGACCCAGCAGCAGGATTCGGAGATGTATTTTTCAGGTCCTTGGCATTATAAACAGAAGGTGCTAAATGTAATTCAGATAAAAATTGTCAAACCACTAAAATGCTTAAATTCTGGGGGGGAAGCAGTTCAGTCCCATGCAAGGTTTGTGGCAGTGCGGTACCAGTGCTTCTTCTGACACGTACTTGGAATGAGCAACAGTTTCTGCTTTGCTTTGCTTTGTTACTCTTTTTCCTTTATGCTTTGCTGTATCCATGTTTTCTTTTCACACATTCTCATTTGTCTTTCATTGCATTTTACCTATGAACTATTTCTAAGTGACTGCTTCTAATCTTCAAACTGTAGCCATATCCAAACCTCTAACATCTCTTCTTTTAAAAAGAGGATGTATTTAGAAATTAAAAAAGAGAAAAACAGATGCACATCTCCTTTTTGCTCCAAAGTTTACTACTACAAATGCAAACAAAACAGTATGCATTGTGTGATTAAAGATCTTTTAATTGTCTCTCCCCTTTTAGTCTTTCACATTTGAACTTCCTATGTTTTTAAAAGCGGAAAAACTGTAGTGATAGTTTCCTTTAAAAACTGTCTGAAAAACTTGTAAAATAGTTTCTTGTTGAATGTGGAATTGCACAGTAATATTCTGTGGAGTTTTGTGGAACACAGGTATTTTAAGATGGTGGTTCCGACACAGCAGAAAGTGCTTGCTCTCAAAATAGCATTTATTTTTGCACAAAGAAAGAAATGAGGTTAAAAGAAGGAACTTTAGCTTGTCCAGTATGTATAAGGAAAAATAACTCTTGCTTCCCACAGTGCATATATATATTCAGCGAATGCTGAAAGTTAGGCTTGCTGCAAAAGGTCTGCTTTCTCTATCACTAAATCTAAATTTGAAATTACTCCATGTGGTGATTTTTCTTCCTTTCCCTCAACTCCTCATATTTTGCTAGAGCTTATTTATTTATTTATTTTTGAACAGCTCTATAAAGCTTTACTGACTTCTCACTGAGTCTTCAAGTCCTCTCCTTCCTATTGCTCTAAATGTCACAGGCAGTTCACAGGCAGAGGCATAGATTGGATATCTTATTTGGAATGGCAGATGTACCATTTCAATATTTATTACTGAGTATATCGTGATCTGAAGATGGAGACTTTGAATTTATCTCATCTTTGTATGCTTGCAGAGAAAATGTAGGTTCCTGTCATTTGAGTGACGTGGCTTGGGAACAGTGCTGGGCAGCCGCTCTGGGTGACCCTGCTCGAGCAGAGCGCCTGGGCTGGCCCCAGAGGGCCCTCCAGCCTCATCCACTCTGTGATTCTGCGAAGAGTTGGAATTTTCAGAATGTAACAAAGATTTTTCCATACGTCTGTTCTGTCAAGATTGCTGTCATAGTAAAGAGACTAAAAAAACTAAGTAGGTCTCTAATGATGAGCATGAATATCATCACAGTATAACTCATTTTGCTTTCAGGATGAGTACAGTAGAGCATTTTATCAGCAACTGGACTCTTAAACTATTTAGATGGATAGTTCCTTAGTACAGTCTTCTTAGAGATATCGTGTTTAAAACAGAAGTCTGTCTATGTTATTCTCCTTTTTTATATAAATTTCCATTACATATTATACTCATTGAGCACTATATAAAATGGTCTTATTAATAGTCTTAACTGGCAGTTTCCTTTATTTTGTGGCTTTTGTAGTGAGAGGTTTTTAAGGGCTTTTTGTTCAGATGTCCTGAGAACAGTTACTGAATTGCCTCATGATCTTCTGGCCAGTTCTCGCTCTGTTTTTAAGCCAGTGGCAAAGCTCCCGTGGACTCCATTGGAGCAGTCGGTTTGCCTTCTCCCATTCCCCACTCCCTGCATGTTTTTAGTGCAGTTTTGAGGATTGTGTTCTTAACAGAGTTATATATTATGCCCATGCGTTGATCATTCCCTCCTCTAAGTTTTTATTTTGGCATAGCAAGGAATAATATGAGGCCACCGTCTGTGTAGATCTTTGGTATTCAAAGACTTTCCATAGCTTCTGTCATGGCCTACAAACAGCTTTGATTACCCCCATATTATTCACATGTTCTTAGCTGAAAATGGTAGTTAGTATTTATTAGAAAACTTATTTCTTAAAGCCTTTATTTTTCCTCAAAGATGAAAAGATCTTTTTTCTCCTTTTGGCAAACCCAAAATCATCATTACTGTATCTAGCTGGGGATGGAGCGGATTTTTTGAGGGGAGTGGGGAGGAGATTTTACATCTATTTTAACTGTAAATAGTAAAGGAAAACATTTTATCCATTGCTGATAGTTAGGCTTCATTTCGTTGGTATATTCATTTCTCTTCAAGGGGAAGTACAGGCAGCTTGTGGATGAACACTTAAGATTAATCCAATTTGTATCAAGTAATAGTGGGGGTAAGGCCATCTGTTCTGTATGGTGAAGGCACCTTAAGTGGCTTTATGCAGCCACATGCAACAGAGCAAGTGACCATCGTAAGGCAGGTAAGAAGAAGAGCAAGAAGAAATGTGCAGGGAAGAGCAGCAGCTGTTTGGAGCTGCCGAGCTCCACAGACACTGGAACACGATTTGCTTGCATTTAGGAACTGCTTTAATGTGAAAAAGTTGGAGATAACAGCTGCCTGTTTCTAATTTCTCCCATTTCAGCACCTACTCCCATGTTGAGGTGTGTTACCTCAATGAAGCATGAAGACTTTTTCCCTCTAGTCCTCTTAAAACTGCACCCAAGGGGAGAATATACTATAATAGGGAAAAAAACCCACCACCCGGAATTGCATGCTTTCCCTATCCTCTGTAGGAGCCTCTACTCCATGAGATACATAGCAAGTATTATTAAAAAAAAAAATGTTGTTTTTCTGTGTTTGTATAGGAAGGCCTGCATATTTTTTAATGATGCATTTTCTGCTGTTTGAACTATTAACAATGTCAAGCCTGGTTTTTCTTCTGGCTTTGCTAAGAATTTCTTAGGAGTCTCCAGAGATGATTAGTGGGAGCTCGCGCATCTCGGATGAAAGAGCAAGGCAAGCTGATGCTCAACAAAGGCCCCCTTGGTCCCAGATGCTCATCAAGCTGTAGATTTGAAAGAGTATAAAGAACTGCCAAGGAGCTTTAAAAATCTTCCTAAGAACTGTTTCCCACCCAATTGCTCAGTTTCAGTCTCTCGGCACTTTCATTATAACGTCCCCAGTTACCTACTCACCATGGAATTTTCCAGTGATACAAGAGCTGATTAGCTTTTCTTCTCTTCTTTCCCTCCTCTAAATATAAATAGCTGAGGGACACAGAGACCTCTTACAAGATCCTTCCCTTCTTCTCTGCAGAAATACCATAAAAAAACAGCAACAAAGCTCACGTGTGATTGTTTTCTCCTTTCACCTTTAATTAAACGGTAAAGTTTCATATTGGCTGTTGTTTTGAACACAGGCTTTTGGGGGCATACCCTTCAAGTTGATAAATGGAAAAATTGTGAGCATTCATCTTCATTTTGCCATGATTGTGAGCTTCTCTCCTCTCATCAAGATTATACTGCGTGCAGCCACAGAAACTCCTGTGCAGCTGTGAGAACATGTGGTGAGAGGTGTTAATGGCTTCATGTTGTCTCGCAGCAATGGTGACACTGATGAGTCTCCCCTGTAACCAGAGAGCTTTCACGCTACCACGTAGCATGCAGAATTAATTACTCAGTTTGCACTCTGTGATTAGTAGTGGTGTTATGTTTAGAACTGTCTAGAGACATTTGTGCATCATTTACCTGATGGTAACAGCTTTAAAAATTCCCATTAAATTGTTAAGTGATGGATTTTTTTTCCCTTCTTTTTCCAAGCAACCCCAGAGGCAATAATAATACTTGTTAAGGATGTTAATAAATATATTATGAGGGAGTCTTTTGAGTGAGATCATTGAAAGGATGGCCTTTCCTTGAGCCTTCAGTTTCTTTCCTAGTGGTGACGAGATCATCAGCTGTGATCTACGCGAATGCTTCATAACCGTTAAAAGCACAAGTTCAAAAATACTGCTTGGATTGCTGGATTGCTTGTTCTGGTTTATATTAAAAGGCAGAAAGAGTCTTTTGGAGGAAAGAAAAATACTAGCTAAAGACCACTGGTGGTGTTTCAGCAGAGAGCCTGAGCTTTTGTTGCCTGATATTTATATCACAGTCGTGCTGAGAGGCCTTGCCGTTGTGCTGAACGCTGCACAAATGTGAGGTGCTTCATGGCTGCAGCTCTTCAAGGTATAAATAAACAACGCAAAGTCTGAAAGGGAGAGCAGAGCTTCAGGGACAGATAACCTCACATTCACATCTGAGCAGAAATCGGATTCTAGTTCAGAGGCCTTTGCCTTGGCTCACAGAGCCTTTCTGTGGTACTTGGCCGCTGGGTTATGCCATAGCGTGGTTTTGCCGGCCTCGCCTCGTACAGGGCCCCGTTCTGTGTGCTGTGGCTGTGCCAGCTGCTCCCAGGTGTGACAGCTACGCTGAGCAAGCAGCCTGGGCCCCGTGAGGAGCAAGGGGGGCATGATGACTTGAGCAAGGGTGACAGCAAACTGCAATGAACACCCACCCCAGGAGCCTCTGCTAGGGTTGCAACGCTCGAGTTTTGCACAGAGTTTGAGTGAGTCTCTTGAGAGCTCTGTGTCGAATCATCATCTTCCCCTCGCTGCTGTAGTTAATGCCCCCCTTGAAAGGTAAAGTGAGTTGTTTAAAAAAATAGCTAAAGCACACAGAACTAACAAAGAAAAGGTGATGATTTGACTTCTCAGATGTTTTTTTGTTGATGATTTGATGAGTTGACTTCTCAAATGTTTATTGATTCCATATGTAAAATGTGATGTGAACCAGGAAATGTCTTTTTTCTTTCATTTTCCAGGAATTTGGAAAGTCCTGGGAGGAAGTACAGTCAGAAGATGACCGGGAATTGTTAGACAACCTAGAAGAGTAAGAATTACTTATGTGTCCATTTTAAAGACTTGCAAGAACATTGCTGTTGAAAGTAGTTACAGGGAAAATACTGTCCATAATTGGTACACCATTAAAATTTATTTAAGAGTCAAATCAACTCCCAGATAATTCTCATAAAAGATACTTCTCCATAGCAAGGGCTGCAAGTTTCATCTTACAACCTACACCTATTTTTCAGTTGCAAGTCACTCAAACAGCAGCCCTTAGGGTGTTTAATAATGTGAGCAAAAGATTTATTATTATTATTATTTTTGTACTCAGAAGTAGTTGAATTGTTTTTGCTCTAATTTAAAATCAAGTGTAAACATCAAAAATCTCATCATGAGAAACAGAAGGAAAAAATGATGAAATGATAACAACTAGAGACTAAAGCAGGATTCCAAAGCCAACTTCTGAGCAGTGCTAAGTGAGGGCACCATTTGCCTCTCCTCGTGTTCGTTTTGCTCCAGGCTCTCAGATCATTACCCAAGTATCTTGCTTGACCCAAGAGAATTGAATAAGCAGGAAACAATTTGAAAGTAGCAATTATTCATTAGTTTAGAGAGCAGAATTGGGCATTGGCCTTCTGACAGGTTATGGTTCTGTCTGTGACTTGAGCTTAAATTTACCTGATTATAAAATGGAAGCAGTAATATTTCTGCCTCTCAGCAGCATTGTATATCTAAATGGATGAGCGAAGGTAAAGTGCTTGTTCTCTGTGCACATACCTAAACGCAGCAGCAATGAGTGCCTCTTCTGAGGAATAATAATATCTGATAGACTGGTAACACCTAGAGTGAACTCTGCCTGACAATTGTCTTCGGTTCATGTACTGAAAGCTTAGAAAAGTATAAAAAAGGATGGAGGATTGTACTAAAATAAACACTGAAGATAATTTGTTGTGAATTGTCAAACCAGATTGAGATTGAAGTTGAGATCCCCCACTAGTTAGTGCGGGACTTGCTGCCTCTCTGCGTAGGAATTATCCAGCAGTATCTACTCAGTTATTCTTGAAATTTGTAATTATTTTAGACAATAAAGCATTTTTTCCATCACATACTTGCTTATAAATGCACAGTGTCTTTTCCATCACTTTAAAGTATTCTGTTTGCCCAGATTTATTTTTGAAACTGTGAAAGCAGAATCTGACTGGCTGCTTCACAAAATATCTCTTCTCTTTTCCACAATTAAATTAATCTTTTTCTGCCTTTTAATCATAAGAGACTGGTCTGACTGGGAAGAGCATCCCATGTGTGCAGTTTGCCTGTTCTGTGAACAACAAGCAGACACCACAGAAAAACTTTATTCTCACATGCAGGTAAGACTTGTTTTTAAATATCATTTCTTTCATCAGTTTGGAATAAAAAGTAGCATTTTAACGCTTTTATTGAGGTCAAAATTGCTGCATTAGAATGCTGTCTCTAGAGCAGAACTAAGGCACTGCATGGACAGCATCAGCTCTCAAATATTCAGAGGAAACAAGTTTGTATTGAGAATATGAATTTCTGTTACTGCTGAGTGTACAGACACTGACACAGGCAATAAAGAGGTAGCAGCGGTTACAGATTTTGGGGAGTTCCTTCATGTATTTTTATTTGCATGAGTATATGCACATGTCTGTGTCAGTCTGGAAAAATGTAAGCAGTTCCTAACTACTAGGAATACTAGTAGTGGTAATGATTTTTTTTTTCCTTGCAGAAATCACATGGATTTGACTTTCTTAAAATAAAGTCAGAGCATGGTGAGTAAGATATGCTGTAATGGTCAGCATTTGCCACTAGTCTGAAGAAAACCACATCACAAGAATACTGGAAAACAACTGTATCAATTAGATTTTTCTTCAGAGATCTAACTTTTCCATTATGGAAACTGTTTCTACCAGTTGACAAAGGACAGCCAAGAACACTTTATTTTTCTGGAACTATTGTTGCTGCCAAGGATATTTCCTATTTTCCTCTGAACCACTGGATTTTTTCACAGAATACCTTTTGCCCACTCTGTGTTTTCCAAGCCCTGCTGCTAGAGCCTGTAATAATAAGTATTCCTATTACTATTATGATGATGATGATGTCTGTTAAGACTTTCTTCCAACTTAGAAGGTGCTGCTCTGAGTTGTGTTTGGCCAGTGTTTGTTTTCTGCTGTAGACTGAGAGAAAGAAAAGCAATGGTAACTTTTAAGTTAAAAGAAGGGCCAGTTCCCCTGCAGCTGAGAAAAAAAGCATTTGTTCAGTTAATTTGCAAAGTTATAAAAATCAACCTTTCTACCTAATCCAAGAAAGCATTTCTAAAGTGCTTGTTTTCTACCACCTCTTCTAGGACTGAATTTTTATCAGCAAGTAAAACTAGTGAATTTCATCAGAAGAGAAATCCATCATTGTCGTTGTTACATTTGCCAGGAGAAATTTCAATCTAAAACAGAATTGATAAGTCATATGGAAGAGACCAAACACATTACATTCCTGCCAGCCAAGTCGACATGGGATCAACCACAGTAAGAGCTAACATGTTCCTTCCAGTATTTATGCTGCCAGTTGATGTCATCTTTAAAGAATTAACCCCAAAGTTCTGGGTTGACACTCCTGCAGTGCCCAGAGCTCCCCAGAGATTTTCTTGGCCCAAATGAAGTAATAAATGGTCTCAGAGCTATTCAGAAGTAGAAATCCCTCTCCTGTCTGAAATGCAAAGGAGCACAGGAACTGTTCTTCCAGGTGCATCCAGGATGCAACATCCCCATACATTATCAACTTGTCTGTGCTAGCAGGTTGATATGCTAGAGGAGTTTCCTGTTGCTAAGTTGTCTGTATTGCAGAATTGTCTTATGAACAGTCATGCAGTTCAGTGAAGGGCGTAAATGATGCACCGTGAACATTTCCCCTCCTACTGGAGCCAAGGTTGGAAGTGCCCCATGCTGCCATCTCAAGTGCCCCATTTCCCCAAGGGCACTTCATGCCTGGAAAGGCTCCTGGCACCTAGTAAAGATACATGGTGGACGAATGGTCAGAGAAACAAACTGAACCCTTCCACACCACATATACACTGTATGGATAGATCCACAATGTCTACCTAATTTTAGGTATCAAAATCTTGTTCACTCTTGGTTTTCTTTATGGGAAATGGAAAGTGTCGCATGACACTAATTCAGATTTTAAGAAGGATATGTCTTCATAGGCAGTAGAGTACAAGGCAACCAGTGTCTTGACTTAAACATTTCAGTTCAGCATTTGATGTTGGATGAATCTGGCTGTGACAGTATGTAGATAAACAGGGGGAAGGACCTGTCTGTTTCCATCCCTTCTGCTCTCTGCCAGACTGTTCCAAGATGTATGGCAGGCTGATTGCTCACAATCCAGACAACCAGACTTTGTTATTTTTCCTTTTTCAAATCTAATCTCATAAAATGTGCTCAGATTCTTTGAAACAAAACATGTGACGTAGAGTAATATTCTAATTCATTGAATCTTGTTGTTTTCAGGTATTATTTTCCAACCTATGAAAATGACACACTCTTGTGCACACTGTCAGACAGTGAAGATCTGACAGCTGACAATAGTAGTGAGGATGTCCCTGTTGTAAGTGAAGATACATGTAATCTAAAAGCTCTTAAACAGAGCAGTGTTTTAAATCAGCTCCTGTATGAAGAGGAAAGAAGTCAGGAGAAACTTTGGCCTTCAGTTACCATCACTGACCTTTGATTGGTTCACCTCCAAGACAAAAAAAAAAAAAAACACATTATTTTATGAAAGTATGAGTATGGTTTACCCTATAAATGTACTGGGTAAATAGTACCTGAATGGGAATGCTAAATAAAAAATCATGTGTAAACATTTTTGGTTTATTTTCACCTAAGTTCTTACTTTATTTTAAAACTCAGTGCCAGATTTTCTGCTTAGTTCTCAGAATAATTTAGGCATTACTTACAAAAAGGTTTTTGTTCTTTTTTTTTTTTCCGTAATATATCAGGTAGTTAAGGACATCTTGTGCAAGGCATGAAAAATTGAGATTGATTTATGTCATATATTAAACGATTGTTTTGATACATGAGCAGCTGAGTGAGACTGCTATATGTTGTTATTGCTGTTAAAGAGCATATGGAAAAGAATCTGAGTTCAATTCTTGGTCTGCTACTTTTAACTTTAGACCTTCTTCAAAGTGAAAATGGATTCGGCTATGTTTATTATTCATCGGTGTATTCATAAGATGTGCAGTGCCTGTTCTGAAAACTGGCTGAGAAACCTCAGTCAAGCTTTACTTGGCCCATATCTGCTTGCACAGTGTGCTCCAGATTAGGAACATCAAAAAGGAGCAGTGCTGTCGTGCTTGTACCAAAGATCCAAAGAATTTATACCAGGCTTCTTGAATGATCATAGGTGTAAGTAAGATCATAGGCATTTTTTGGATTGAGATTCAAAAAAGAGCAATGCAAACATTTAAGTTTTTAAACCTCTCAATCGAGGTGTGTGTTTAACCTGCCATAATGCTGTAGTATTGAAAGTTCTTCAAAAGGTCTTCAGTATGTCCAGAAACACTTCAGTCTTGCCAGGGTGAAGCAGCTCAGAGCATAGGTCCCTATAGAATGACGCAAACTAGATTTTTCCTGCCTCTTTTTCTCCTCTGAGATTTTACTGAAGAAGCAGTCCCAGAGTTCATACTTGGCTTTTTGAAATATCAGGAACTGTTTTCAAATTCGGTAGCGTGTTCCTTTTTCTTTAGCTCAGTGCTAGAGCACTTGCCCAGAATGTGGGAGCCTGTGTTTGAGGTTCGGTTATCCGCCTGAGAAGATTCAAAGCCACAGTCCTGTCTTCTCACAGCTCTGACTGGCAGAGGCTGCTGTCAGTAAGAGCTGTTGTTTTTCACCATACGTTGATTGAGAAATAGACACAAGCTCCAGGGAGGGGAGCAGGGGTTAAAGCTCAAGCCTTGGCCCATGTTCTGACAAGCTTCCATACCCAGCCACATTCACCCTGCAATGTATCTGCATCTCCTTCTTTACATTTTAATTGAACCTGCTCTCTCATGGCACGACCTATCATCCACTAGCTCCTCTCCCTTTGCTTCCTTTTTATTTATTTTTTTTCTTAGGCCCAGATGTAAGGACCTAAGGTTTTACCTTAAAGTAAAACAACAGGATGCCAAAAATGTACTGAGAAAGATAACAATTTCTGACTTTGCCAATAGGAAATGGGATAGGAGTGATTCAGGAGGTGCTGAGAAGGATACAGACATAGTCCTTTCTGCATTGACTTGGATTAAACTGTTCCGAAAATTCAGGAGGAATGGTATTTTTAAATTTTTAACATCTGACCATATTAAATGAGCTATAGTCTGTATTTTTCGCATTTCCAAGTCTTTTATTTTCATGCACTAAGAGGCTGTTGGTATTGATTTTCCTAATAGTTTTCTTCCCAAGCAGTTACTTTGTCCTAAATTAGAAGTTAATTCAGCTCCTTGCTTTTCCAGTCAGATTCTCAGCTGAGGTGGGAGTAAGAGTTAGTTGGGTTTACATGATAAGGGTGTGTTGAGCAACAGAAAAACTCAGCAGGAGAGCTATGGCTAAGTCAGCAGCACGTGGGTATGTTTTATAGCAAGGCCATCCATCTCAGAAGGGCACATTAAAGGGAAGATGAGAATTTTATTGAAATATCATAAAGTGAAATGGCAAAATGTTTCCCAATCACGAGGAATGTGATGCTGAGTCACTCAGATCTCTGCAAAATGAAGTCAAGAATGTTAATATCAGCAATATGGGATGGCTTCCATTCCTAATTGAAATTTGAAATAATTTATCAGCACAGAATTACAAGAGTATCTTAAGAAAATTTTTATAAATTTTATCAGTTGCTTGTCTTTTTTTGAGTAAAAAGGAAAAGGTAACTAGAAAAAACACATAGCAGTATAACTATTTACTGAAGATACATGGAACATGAGGAAGCAGATTAGAGTTGATCTTGTTGCTTTGAACGTGCACAGCAGGTAGAAAAGTAGGTTTAAAGTCTCAGTAGGTTCACAAAGTTGGGATACATTTTTGGGTAAAAGTTGAGAATCTTAATTTAGCACAATGCTGCTTAAAGGATTTTTGAGAACATACCGTATTTGTATCTATAATGGCCATATTTTTCCCTGGGCATTTATGTCCTCAAACAAATGCACAGCCAGTATCAGTGTCTGTTTTAAAGATGAAGTGTAATCTCTGCTGCAAGCTAGGGGATGCAGTTATGACTGCAGACAACATGCAGGTCAGGTACAATATGAGCAAATACTGTACTTCTAACAAATAGTTTTGCCATAAGTTGCCAAACATGTTAATTAGTATAAGCCAAGCTGCACTGTTTTAAGCCGAACACACATTTCTTACCACAAGGTTTACTCAGAGCCTAGTTTATAAATCTCAGTTACATTCACGCACTCCCATGGGTTAACACTCTAGTTTAGACGTTTCTGAGTCAAAAGGGGAGAACGGCCTGTGTCCTGGTGACCAGTGCTCTCCCCTGCCTTGTTTGCACCTGCCTTTGTGAGGTCTTGGCTGTTTCCAGGTTCTGTATTGCACTCATCTGGCATGCTGTGAAGGAGGCATCAGTGGCTGCTCCCAGGTGGCTAAACAGGAGCTGAAATCAAAATACTGAAGCTCAGCCTCTGAGGTGGCTTTCTGCTGCTGCCATCCGTCAGATGGCTTCAGACCTGTGGCTCGATCTCTGCTGGTGAATGGTTGGTACAGTGTCTCTCTCCCAATTTACAGAGTATTTCAGTTGATCTAAATCTGAAAAAAAAAAAGTAGTGAATTGTGAACAGAAGTACAGTTATTTTCTTCAAAGATTGTTGGTTTCCACACTTGAGTGCCAGTCCAGAGTGGACACTGGGTATTTTGCAGTCCTCAGGAACAGCTACATCTACTGCCACTGAGCAGCACAAATTTCACAACTCCATTGTTGCACTGTCAAATGATTTTGTGTTATTTATATCTGTGTTATTTATATCTGTATTTATATCTGTCAATATATATGTATATCAACAGAGAAGATGGAGAAGGAAAGGTCCCTGAAGAAAAACTGTTTTTCATAGAGGCAACATGACAACTATTTTGCTTTTCCCAGGAGTTGTGGTGCAGTTGGGATGCTTTTTTTGGTTTTAGGTACAATAGAAAGACTGAAGTATGTATGGTTAAATTATGCCCTCATCTACCCCTGCCAGATACATCAAGCTTAGGTAACAGTTCTCACATGGAACAAGGATTTGCAGCCTTGGAATGAGTTACAGCTGCCTTGTAATGGTCATTAGAAGTGCAGTGCAGTCAACTGCGCTGGTTGCATGAAGGCCCTTGTTCATGTCGTTATTTGTTCCTTTCTTCCATGAGCACTGAATATAGCCATTATCCTCAAGGAAACCATTTTTTATTAGATGTTTTCTGCTACTAAGCCATGCTTAATTTGTCTTCTTCCACCTATGGAAGTTATAGCACCTTTTGAATTTGATTTTTCATACACCTCAACCCTTGCTCATGAAGATGCAGTTTAGGTAACTCTTTTAGAAATGACTGTTCTACCCAAGTTTGACACCTGTGATAAATTCATTCTCTCCATATTATAACCAGGGAAATTTACCATATTTGTAACATAAATTTCTACTTAGCATCAGTCATCTTTACACAGGTAGAAATGAAAGCATTTTCCTAGCACAACTGTTCTCCCCACCTGGTTTACCATTCAGGGACCAAAGAGCTGCTGGTGTTTAGGTGATTACATATGAGCATCTAACCAACGGGCCCTGTAGGTTCCGGAGACTCCTTCAGCTCACCAAAGTAAACATCAAAGACTCTTTTCAGTTCCTTAACCACACACATGTCATAAGAGGTTGCGGAGGCTCCTTCTCTGGAGATCTTCCAAACCCGCCTGGATGCCACCCTGTGCCACGTGCTCTGGGTGTCCCTGCTGGAGCAGGAGGGTTGGACTAAACGATCTCTAGAGGTCCCTTCCAATCTCAACCATTCTGTGATTCTGTGAGATGCCCAAAGATACTGTTACCTCCAGCTGCCGCTCCAGGAGGGTGCTGGTCTCTTCGAGGTCCTGTGACAGTTCTGGCAACTGAGCATGAACATTTCAGATACCTTGAAACATCTCAGACAGCATTGGATGATAAGTTGAAGAAGCCAAAGCCAACATCAGTGACTAAATCTCTCTTTTAGGCTGCATTAACTTGGGCTTGAACTGGGACCCAGTCTTACATTTGTTCACCTACATCTGAACTAAATTTCGTTTATTGTTTCAGAGCTGAATCCCACCCCAGGGTTACAGAATTCATTTAACCCAAAGGTGGACATCCATGTGGATCAGATGATTTGCCTTCTGGAAAATGCCCAAAAGGAGAACGAGTTTGATAGCTACACTGAAAGTATCCGAAACTACTGTGTTAGTCTGTGCCTCTCTATTCACACAACAGCTGTTGGGACAGGAGGGAAGTTTCCTTTAGGCACATATGGCCATAGATTAATTTATTGTAATGGATCTAACCACTAAAGAGCAGCAGAAGTGCACCACAGGATACAGAATATATACATCCTTCCCCGATTGAAGGAATCTCAAAGACACTCACCTATTAAGTAGATGTATTTTAAAGAGGAGACAAGAAGCTGGACAGGTATCCAAGGACAGCTCACAGCATCTCTGATGCCACTGCGCTATTGTGTCTGCACTGTGTATCACCAGAAGTGCCTCCTGAG